TCTGCTTACTCTGCTCTTAGTGCGTTCCAGTTGCTCCCGCTGCTCCCCGAGTTCCTCAATGATATCAGTGCCGATCTGATCCGTTTCAGCCGCAATTCGGTGCGAGCGCTCGATGCTCTGCGTGGCACGGTTCAGGCTGTCTGTTCCCTGGAGAAGCAGCACCCTCTGTGACTGCAGGTTAGTCTGAAAAATAACACACACTTAACTATTAAGCACAGAGAGAGAGTTATTAGGCTTCTGACGTACTACAACGGCAGGTGACTCCACAGGCCATGCATTTGTATTGCTGCACATGCTTCTTATGTTAACTGATCTAGCCCAGGTAACTTGGGAAGGGTTCTTACAGTGTAAGATTACAGCCAAATCTGGTTAAGCCTTGAAAAAGGACACACAGCTAAAGAGTTTCAAAACACTTGTATTTGCAACACTTTACTTTCCCATCAAAAAACATTTACAAGAAAATACTATCTTTTCTTTCCAGATGCTAACTTTTCCTTCCATTCATATCTAATTTCAGTCTTAGTTTTTACTTCACAGTTGGTTGCCACGGTCATTAAGACTTCATGGTGAAAAGGATTAGGAACAACCAGCACTAACAGATAGACTGCTAAGAGATCCCTCTTTTCATGCCAGTAGCCTCAGCTAGAAGTGAAGAAATGCTTACTGACCTCAGGGTCAAAAGGTAACTCAAAATGAAGTATTTTCTTGAACTTCAAAAAGTCTAATCTACCTCCTGCTTTCAGGTTTTAGAGGAACCAATCAAAGCAAATCAAACACAAAAACTTACCAAGCTACTGCAGAACAAAATACTGAGGAAAGAGCCTCCCCTCCAATCTTCCTTATCTAAGGCAGGAAGGCATAAAGCCCACCCACTGCCATGAACTTTTTCTACAGATTACAGCACTTTGAAGATAATAAGCCGATTCAGTCTCACTGGCTCAGATGTATCTGTGCATATCTGGTCAATGAAGAAACTGGTGTATTTCTTGCACTGCAGCAGCACATCCATAGGGAACAAAGAGCTAGATGATGACTTCTTGTATTTTCTTGAAATTATTTATACTGAGATTCCTTGAAAGAGAATTCTTCCAAAGAACCTATAAAGTGCATTATTCACATACTTTTCTAGTTTTGAAGACTAAAGCTAGATCAGTTAACCTTTCTTGTCTGTCAGCAGCATCACTTCTGTGCTTTCACTTCTGTATGAGAATGATTAAATAAAGCATTTCAGTACAGAGTGCTATGTAAGCTACTAGCTACATGGCATTCAATGAGTGAATATGGTTATATTCATATCTTTGTTTTAGAACAGAACAGCTCTCCTTTGAGTTGCAGGTGTTCTTTCTCCTCCCTGAGATATTAATGTCACATGCAGATACATATAAGGAGTCACACAAGCACAGAAGATAAGTGGATTAGAGTAAACACACTGCAAATGATACACCTGAAATATGATTTTAAAACAATCATAGCAATGTTAAATAAAATTTATATCTAATTCTCACACTCTGTTCATTTTCTGTGGAGAAGATTCCATATTTTATATTGCCTTGACTTCCAGGGCCCAATCCCAAATCCGTGCTTCTTATCTCTCTCTGGAACATGGAGAGGTCTCTTCTGTAGGCTCGGATTTTGCTCATCATTTGGTTGCGGAAGGGCAGAGGAGCATATTTCAGTTCTTCCTCCATTTCCCGCAGCTTGAACAAAAGAAAATGTCACTTCTTAAAGCACTAAATCTATTCTTATCAGCAGCTACACTCACAACTCGGCAGCAGATGAAGGGATTAATGTATCTTTATATGACTGGGCAAGAGGTATTAACCCTAAGCCCTACACACCTCATCTAGTACTGAGTACAACGTTCTGTCTAATGCTGTTCAGCCTACATGGATTTTCAGATACCTCAAGACAAAAATAAATGAGTTGCCAAGCTTAAATGCTTGATTTTTTCTGAAACATCACTCAGTAACTTAAAAATTTGCAGTTCTCACTTTTATATAGTTTGAGCATTTATAGGATGGGTATCAGCTTCTCATCGTATCTGTGCAACAGAGATCTACTGCATAGGTAAATATGCCACTAAATT